TAATGTTTAATGTTGAATCATACCCGTTAATGTTTAATGTTGAATCAGACCTGTTAACCCTTTAAATTCTGTAAAGTCATGATGTCCCATATATCAAAATGCTTTATGGTGGCCATGTTGGGACATTTAGGACATTTCTGGAAAATCAGGACATTTTTTCAAAGTGAGGACATTCTTGTAAATAATTTATCTCGACAGCATCAGACTACAACCGTCGCTTTACAAATGAAAACCGCCGTCTTTAAAGTTCCAATCCTCTCTGATTAAATGTATTTTAGTTCTGCAGGTATTGGGTCAAAATATTGGACACATTACAATGTTGACCTGATGATGGCGCTAGATTAAAAGTCAGAGGATCAAAGTCATGACTTTGATTTGACACAAAGAGCTGACTAAAGTCTTTGACATCTCATGTCTGGACTGAAGCTTCCAGACCTCACAAAGCTCCATCAGTGAGTTTAACACTCCTCGTTTTGTTATTCCTGTGAGGACTGCCGATCTAAATCCTCACCGTGTGACGTCACCACGGCGTCCTCAGTGTGACCCGCTGAACCGCTCAGCCAGCAGCTGAACACATGATCCTCGTAATTAGTTTTAAAAGTGTGAAACAAATAACAATGGAGGTCAAGATTTGAGGTGAAAACCCGGCGTGTCGGCACTAAGCTGATTACACACCCACACACACACACACCCACACCCCCCCCACACACACACACACACCCTCACACACACACACCCACACCAACCCACACACACACACACACCCTCACACACACACACTCACACACACTGCTGCTTTGGTTTCGTAATAACTCGACCTTTCCTCTGCTGTAACAACAATAACAAGCTTTGATCCGTCAGACGTCAGATCACCTTCTGCTCCTTCTCTTCTGCTCACTTCCTACATCCTTCTCCTCTCCTGTTGTCTCTGTCTTCACTGAAGACATTCCCATCATCCTCATCATGTCTCCTCACCAGTTTGTCCCTCACCCTTGGCTATAAACATAACAATGAGCGCTTGGTTGGGGTTACAGTTCATGCATTCATATTTTAGATAAAATCATGATCTATTTTTCTAACCTTCGAGGAACTGAAACATAGTTGAAGCTGATCTCATCCAGCGTTTGTAAACCTAACTGTTTCCAGTGAAGACGGAAGTTTATTTTGGAAAGACTGTATTCATGTAACGAGCGGATATTGACCTGTGTTGCTGAATGTCTGTAGGGAAACGCACAAAAACTGAGGAATAACTTCTCGTCAGATGTCATACAAAATTTAGTATGAGAACCATTTGATGGCAGAGTCAAATTTTACAAATTTCCCCCTGGGGATGAATAAAGTACCTATCTATCTATCTATCTATCTAAAGTGAGATGGTTGGTTTCGGGTAATACTTCATGCATTGACTGAACGATGTCATTGTACGTAAATTGTGAGACAAGGAATCGAAACAATAAGCGTACCATGCTTAAGACTACAGGGCAGAGAAAGGACGATGTTGTGGTGTAAGATGTTGACGCCTGTGGGATCAGACACAAAAAACTAAACTGAAGCGATGACCTCAAATAACATAGAAACCGGCTCTGCTCGCTGTTTCCGCTGATCAGCCGGAGCAGAAACCCTCGTTGGACGGACGGCAAAGCGTCCCGATTGTGTCACTGTGAGTTTGTCTCAGGTTGACCTGGAAAAGCACCGCAGACAGCAGAGTGCCAGGTCAGTTTACCTTTAACGCTGTCAGCTGCTAAACATTCACCTCAAGAGTTTACATCAAGGACGGATTTAAACTACCGACACGGTTTAAAGTCGATGGACAGAGAACAGTTTCTCTTAATGACTCTGAAACATCTGCAGCTATCGAGGGAATAAAAGACGAAACCTTCTTCAGGAAGAAACTGTTTTTTAAAGGATTCATAAACACAGACTTTTCTTTCCAACACACTTTAGGATTCTTCTAGAAAGACTTCTGTATTAGAAGAAGCTTTCAGGCTAATTTTAAAAGGTGCACTAAAATCAATGGACCGACAGGTAGTGAGACAATGTGCTGGAGTATATTTTCATTTTTATCATTTTGAAATTTTGAAGGAAATAGATGAATAATAAATAAATAATACTAAATAATGAGGTTGCTTCTGCACTAAAATAAACTAAAAAAGATGAAAATAGAATGAAGTACACGTACACTTGAAACCAACTTCCTTTTTCTAAAGGCTTTTCTACGAACCCATTCGACTAGTTTTCCTGTAGGTGAACGATTTAATGTTTTAATTCAAACAGGACTGATTTCAGATGAATCAAAATCACACCAGAACAACGAGTCTTCAGTTAACCTCACAAACAGATACACCACGACAGGATGCATCCGGTGACTGTTTTACACCCTAAGCTGTTTGTGTTTCACCTGTTGGACTCAGATTCAGAAGAACCTGTGGAGAGGAAAACATCCCAGCGGGTCTGTATTTGTGTCTCACCTGGATTCATCGTCTCTGGCGATCAAAAGGGACATGTGATTAGAGAGCGAGGCGGTCCTCAGGATCTCCACCGCCCTATCAGGAGACAGAGAGGTGACGTCAGCAGCTGGTGTGCAGTTGAATATAATAGTTCATACAAACAGAACAACACAAATGGTCGACACATAACTAATGCAGATTTGATGAACAAGATCAATGAACGATGCTAACGTAATGTTTACCATGTTTACTATCTTAATTAAGCGTAATAACATTTTCTAATTAACACTCAGCAGGTATTTGGTCATAAGGCAAAGTACTGACAAATGAAAAGCAACAAATCACAGTCACCAAAGTCAAATACATCCTCCAGGAATCATGACTATTTGAACCAAATCAACCCGTCTGCACAAACTCAACTCAACAAATACGGCGGCAGTGGTCCTACGTGTTAAACTATGACAATCATTAACGTATATTCAGTATTTCTTCAGTAGCTAGCATAGCATAGCAGTGCTAACGCTAGTTAATGGTGTGCTAACATACTCTGCTAACGTTTATCTCCTTCAACCTCTCTGAGTAACGAGTCTCACTTTTACACAACGTTTAACATGATGAGATCCAGATCCACTGAACCAGAAACCAGAGATGAGTCTTTGGAGTAGAACTACGCTATGCTGCGATTGGTCAATCTGTGTTTGAGGGGCGAGACTTAGCAACGGGTCAATTGAAACCAGGAGACAACGTCCGGTTCTTTAAAGTGAAGTCAAAGCTTCATATGTTAAAGCTGCATTCTCTCTAGTG